CCAATATCTATTTACAACTTAGATGCAGTAATCTTTATCCTACTTGAAATGACACAATACAAATGTGTCATGCCATTATGAGTCATTGAAATGTTATGCTAAATATATACAAATATATCAGAAATTAACATGCGATTCTTTTGAATTCAGATTTTCTTTACATAATTAAGGAACTTGACCAGGCCTGATAAATAGATTCTATTGAAATGTTGAAAATATAAAAGCAGTATTAACAGTCTAGTAATATAAACAAGCGAAAAGATGTCAGGTTATTTTGAGGTAAACAGTCGGTCATTTGCGTGCGCGACCCCCGTTTAACAGATTTTATGACAATGTTCCGACGCGGTATAGCACTTTTTACCTAAATGTCTATCAGTATACGACATAATAAGTTTATGCCATTGCTTATGCAAGCAAGTCATTTTAGTGAATGTTTTGTTTTTATATGTCACATATCAAGTGTGTTTCGTCGAATTTTATCAGTGTAGTTACATTGTGGTTAAAAAGAACTTGGTGAGATATCTGTTTTTACAATAACGCATCAAGAGATTTATGATTAAGTAACTAACAAGAATTTTATATACTTAATCTATTAAATTGGAGCGCGTTTTGTTTGTCAAACATTTCAGGAATGTACTGAGGTGATTATCAAAATGACGTCATGGCATCATGATGATACGAGCTTAAATAATTTCAGAGACCAAAGTTCCTGATAAAAGAAATGTATTAAGGGTTCCTTAAAATCTAGGTCAAACAAAAATAATTTATCATTTATGTAATTTTGACCCTTTTTCATACCTTTATTACTTTTTCTATAAAAAATAATGATTTAATGATACTTCTGTAACAAATATTTTTTTTTACTTTATTTTGTTTAAACTTTATATTTCACGAAATTTATTTTAAAATTTAAATTCTGCATTTACAAAATGATCCATGGATGTCCATATATATAATATAAATGCTTTATTATTATATTCTATAGGTACTGTCTCCTCAAAATTGCCTAAAAAGTATGCTTTAAATAATTTCCCCATGCATTCCTTAAAATAGACGACAAAATAGCTGATAAAAGCAGCTTGTCTAATTCCATTCATCAATCCAAGCCAAGCCGATTTTTTAGTTCTGCAAATAGATTTAGAAACTCTAAAAATGTACCCATTTTCCACATAAAATTATGTTGCATATTTCAATATTCCATTAAATTATTCAGTATAATTTCATTAATTAAATATATTTCCGTTCATCATAATATAATAAGGTTAAATCATAATACATTGCGAGTATATTGGCAGATGAAAATGGGGACTTCAAATTTAAAATAAGCTCTACATAGATAGGTATTTCGGTGGCTATATTTAATTCGTCGACTATTATTAATATTACTACGATGGAACAGAAAAAAAAATAATAGGAAAAATTATATAGCGAACCAATGAGAAATTGAACTGTTTTATTATAAAGTTTGAAATCTTATCCTAAAATATATTTTTATCTAAATTAATATGTTTTTAAACTTCTAAAAAACCATTTATTTTGTAAGCAATGTGAATTTATGATTTTGCATTTGAGTTATGAATACAAAAAAAGAAAGATTCACAACTACATGCTTTTTTAGTTTAATTTATACACTCCTTATACATTTAGAATGAAAGTGATATTCCATATAAATGCTTTTTGCGATCGTTTGATTTTAAAAATAGCATTCTTAAGTTACACAATGAACAAAGTTTGTCTTTTTTTCAAATGTACAAAACATAAATATAAAATAGGTGCTCAGCGACAGATAATAGAACATATTTTTTTTATGACAGCAATCAAATCATAGTTAGAATACAGAGCAAAGTCAGCAAATAATAGTATAAAGTAAACAGAATGATCATTGACGACTATTGTTATTGTAATACTATTGCACCGAAATCGCGTGCTATTTCAAACTTGTTTGTATACCGTCATTCAATTACATTTGTTAGTCTGTCCGTCACCCTGTTATTTTGAACAATACACATTCATTAAAATCTGTTAACTAACTCAATTGCCATCAAGAACTAAAAGTAAAATTGGCTGTGCGATATGGACAACATTTATATGATGCTATCATACTGATAATATTGATTTGTATAAAAACTATGCTCTAAACGTAAACAATTCAAATTCATACGTGAATTTTATACATCTAAGACACAAGAAGCAAAGCAACAAACGAAATTAATTCAATAGACGTCGCTAAGCAACGTTTTTGTCTCTTATTTTAACCAATCTAATGAAGTAATAACACAAAAATGTTTGTTTGAAAAAAAGCTATAAATAATAATAATAGTTTTTATTATATTGCGTCTTCTAGATCGTTATAAAGGATACCGAGAATAGACTAAAACCAGGTTAATAGCAGACAACCTAAATATCAATACAAAAGTTATAGTTTCGTGGAATAATTGCAGATTTTACGATGTTTCTTCAGTGACCAGCAAACAAATGTTTTTTACAAGTACTCTCTTTTAGGTTCGTATTAGTCAGGAGGAGCGTTTACAGTCACAATCTAGATAAAATTTTATAACGATTCATGACTACAAATTATTGTCTTTGCATTTTTTTTTTCAAAATAAAATAATAGACGATGTTCCTAAAATGTCAATATACATTTCTAAAATATTATCGCTTGAAGGGTTAATGTATTTTTTTATAAGGTTTTAGATAATCTGTACCTGTCGTGTATTAAGAATATTTGTGAGTAAGTTCTGTTTTTATTTTCGATTTAATCTCTTTGAAAACGGATTTTCGATGTCATGTGATGCGCTTAAGGTTCGTATGTGATTATTTCTTTCCGTGCACTCGCTTAGCTCAGAGTAAATTGTGTCTTATATACATGTTGTGAGATATTTATTTTGAATATCCGGACAGAGTCGCTTAGTTCCAGCGAATGCGTGTACTCTGGCGCGATGAAACCGATTAATGTTACTCAAAGACAACCTCGAGGTTGGCTCCTCTAGATAGGGTACACTTTTTGTTACTTAGCATCGTATTTTTCAAGAGACTAGAGAGATGAGCATTTATTTTTTTATTCGGTAATATTTCCTTTTTAATTCTTAGCAACATGGTTTTCAGTACCGTAATGGTTTTGACCTGTTCTATATAGGTTTTTATTTATTTCTATAAAACAATAAGTTGTTAGAATAAGGTCGTGCGTGAAAAGAACATAGAAGTATATGAATTTATTTATAGTTAGGTTTATGTGTAACTTTTATTATGATATCCTTTAGACAAGTAACTAACTAACCCTTACTAGTTTGTTGTAGATATATTATAATATATAAAATATGTAGTTCGGTTTTTGCAATTTTTCTAGCGATGGGCTATACACTAACCGCTGTACTTAAAGTTAATTCGTGAAATTTAGCATCAATCTTTTATTTGATTATGTCTTTTTGTCGGCCGATTGGCGATTGCCTTTTTGTCTGTCTGTCCTGTTAATCTTGTGTCGCGTTTAGACTCCTAATGTTTAATTTTGAAATCTTTTGTTTCTGCCAATGAGTTATAAAATGCAAACAACGTTTAAAATGAAATATTTTATATTTTGCTCTTTCGCATTTACTTATAAAAAATATTATTCCACAATCATTCAAACCTGTTTTTCAAATCTGTCATTCTTTAATAATTTTATATTTATATATATGTACATAGATGTCCATATATTATTTAATTATGAAATTATTAAAGAAGGGCTACGAAATATTTCAAAATGTGCAAATATGTACAATGTCCAAAATCTGTCTAAACGTTACTTAATAGTATTATTTTGATAAAAAAATAATAAAACTTTTACCAGTGCATTAATACCTCTCAAGGATGATATGAATATAATTTGCATAAAATGAATCTTCTAAAAACGGACAATGTGTGAAATCTTTCTAACCATCAATGGAAAGTTCTTTAAAAACCATATCCCCTAAATAATCAATATCAATTTGGGATAGCAAATAACTTTTAAACATTCGTGGATACTTAAACTAAGTTTGTGTAAAAACTTATCAGTGGCTATCCTAATCCGAGCTGACGGGCCCCCGAATGTCTTGACAGTGGGAATGTTTTCAAGCTTCCTAGTCCATTAAGAAAGTATTTCAAGTCCAGCTTCATCGCCGCACTTCTTAGAACCATAAGTCCGAGTCGTTTTAAAGTTAATAAGTGTAGGACGTCTTACCTCAGAGACATAGAATTAAAACTTTGCTACCTATTGAATGTGAGTGAGGCAAATAAAAATTGGCTATACACTATTCAATTTGAATCGTCCCCTTCGTCCTCAATAAGTTTTGTTAAAACTATATGATTCTTTTACACAATTTGGTGGAATTTAAACTATCATCAGAATTTTTGTGTATTGAACATCGCTTTAATTGTTTTATATGAAATATTTTGTACAATCATTCTGCTAGAGTGACAAGATAACAGATGTTACTGTCATTCTATTTCTGTGTTGTTGTTTTATAGCTAGGAATTATTTGTCATTCTCCATTTATTCACATACAGAAACATCTATATGTATCATACTTAGTTAATACTAATGCATAATAAAGACCCTATATTAATATTGATATGTAATTGAATAAAAGCATTTCAACAAAAATAAGTCAATGTAAAACACAAATAGCTAATGTAAAGAGCTATCTGCTAATTCATTTTGCAAGAAATTAATTGAGACTGAAAGGATGCTTTATACTCATTACTTGAAAGTCTTTAGTGATATATTTATTTTGTATTGAGAAAAAATATGCTCCTTTAATAAAATTATTATTTTTTAATCGGATCAATAGGATCCTTATTGAATTATATGCACAATTGTTACATTAAGTGATTATAAGGTGATCAATAATATTATCTCTTTTTAGTACGACCAAATATATCAATCGTGAAACACGCATTGTTTGGGACACCATTCATATAAAAAAGAGCATAAAAGCTTTGTTTTTCCAACAATAAAAAATTTTTAGATATACGAAAACAAAATGGATTTCGATACGTTGTTTGTACGGTCTGCGAGGCTAGTGTTATCTCTGCACTCGCCTACAGGCAGTGCATTACAAGTTCTCATAGTCCCAACTCGCAAGGCATTCAGTCCAACATCGAACGAGCGGACGATCGCACGCTCCTACGACACGCGCGTCTCTACCCGTAAGTTTTGTGACAGAATAAAAACGCGTCTTGCATCCCACACGAGATAAATATTAAGTTAAATTAAACCCGAATCTAAAACGCGGCGGCTAATTAACTAGAGTAAACTTTAAAAACAGTTCCTTAAATTAGCCGTTTAGAACTTAAAATTGGCATTTAGCCGATTTCTACTAGCAACGGAAAATCTCTCGAAAACTATTTTTTGGAAGCTAATTGGTACATCTCTCGTTTTAGAATTTAAATGTCATTAGAGGCATGTGGCTTTTTAATTATTGTCCAAATATAAAAAAAAAAACAATTGGTAACTGTTAAAAAAGTTTCTCGATTTTCGGTCAGTAGAAATCTAAACAGCATAATATTAAATTAAATATAAAATAATACATGAAATTAATATAATCCTTATATCGCAAACTAATATGATTTTTTTTAATGTATTCTCATAAACGACATAAAACGAGTAAGTAAGATGTTACTTAAATATATATTATACAATTATTATAGATATTTTAATGATAATGCACAAAGTAGAATAAAAATAAGTATAGTGTTTTTATAACATATTACTCTAAAATGTTAAAGTAAGGATCCCGTCTATACATGCCTGTTGACCTATAAAGTCCCTACGTATGTTTCAAAAGCATTTATACTTTGTAACGGTCGACAATTCCTAGAGGCACCTTGTAAATTCTTCCAATCAATGTAGCTTTGGTCAACAACTAACAAACTTTATTTATAATTAAAAAGAAAATATACATTTCTAGAAAATGAAATTTATGGGTTCATAACATTGATTTAAAATTATTCCGTATACATATTTTTGGTAATTTGATAAAATGTAGACGCTTTTTGTGTTTTTTAATTTTTTTTAAATAAAATATTTGTATCTAACATTGCAATCGAGCCTATAAAATAAAAAAAGTTTTACCCTACAACGGTCGATGTAAGTAAGTTCCTGATTACAAGCATTACATCCCGTTATAAGAAGCCGAACATAATAAAGGAGTCTGTTCTTAATGATGCAAATGATATGCAGCTCAAAGAGATCCATTGTACGGGACCAGGGCCTACAGAGGTGTGGCTACTAACGTTGTATTTAAATGAACAGTTTACAATAACGCATTCAACAAATCAATTTAGGATCAAACACCAATGAAATTCTCTAATTTATATAAAAATAATTCAAAAAATCTCAAACTGGTGCGTTTATCTAGACATTAGAGTGTGTGGATCTAATTTTTTAAAATAGGCTCCCTTCTATAATTACTTTAAATCTAGAATACTTTGACGTAAGCAATAACAAAGTCTTTTAACTCGATTATAAAAATAACTTTCAGCGGAAAATGTACGCTTCCGCAATCCGCTTAAAATTATATTCCATAGATTGTTTTATTGTAGGTAAATATGAAATGATAAAGTAGAAATGACATAATTATATTCAATAAATGTAATACCTTAATAGTTGAAAAAAATATATTACAAGCTTGTTTTGTGTGATCTGAATTTATTATTGACATCTGTCTATATTATAAAATAGAGTCATGTTCAATTCAAGAATGTAAATGACTTGAACTATCATGGATAACGTTTCGTTGGCGGTTTTACTAATGTGCTGTTGTGAATTTAGTTAAAACATAAGAAAAAACAAACCCTTTAAAATATCTGTATATCAGTACCATGTAGATGTACAAATATAAAAACTTAAAAATCCTCTTCTATAAATACTGTGTCACGAGAATCCAATAACATTTTACTTTAGAATACCTTTTACTTTCCATTCAGACATTTCGAAAATTGTTTCGAACATTTCATAGAAGTACCTTTGACAGATATACGGCGACATTCTTTAATTATATTATGAAAATCTCTGACCAACGAAAAACTTCACCTTCCAATATAATAGGACTCAAAGTGCACATACCGAAGTAAGATTAAATAATGTAATATTAGGTATGTAGTAACACTGTTTTAGTTTTTTGGTTATTAATTATTATCGCTAAATTATATGACATAACAGTTGTATTTTGATGAACAAAATGTTTAATGTGAAAGTCAATTCAAACGAAACAAGAGCACAGAGCAAATAAGCGAGTTAAACGCGGATGCGTCATAAGTCCAGTGCAGCACAATTATGACTACATTAATTTTTCAAAATGTTTTCCTCAACCAAGCATCTAGTTCACTCTAATTACCCCTTTTTTAAATGTACGAGACTACTACTCAACGAGACTTATCAGACATAATACTAATTTGGAATAATATGAATGCGTCACAAATATTGTGTCAGCACTAACGTCGCATGGAAATGATCGCTCAGTAACAGTTAGATTTGGTGGATTTATTACTATTTTTAATTCACGGAATTAATATATCAACATTTTTGCATAATATTGCTTCAGGTTATTTATTATAAAGGTATTTCCATTAAGCGCTTCAAATCTTACATATATCGGTCTTAATGAACTATCGACATTTCGTCATTATCTCAAGTTGAAAACTAAAAGTCGGATTATGAACATATGAACGTAAACACTTATTCCATGTATTTAATTAGACCCCACTGGAATTAATAACAGATAATAATTGTTCTAGCAAAAGCTGTTGCATACACTTTATCAACTATGGTTCTCTTTATTTTTCATTCTCATATAAATTCATTGCATTCAGTGAATAATGTATTTTACAATAAATTTTCTCTCGAGCTTTTTCTTTACGAAGCTAGTATTAGAAATTTAAGCTATACTATCGAATGACCGTTATCGGATAACTTTAAAGCCTATTCCTATATAAGCTTTATTTTCATTTTCATTTCTTTCTCACTGAATAATTTGTTTATCAATCCACGGTTCCGTTCAATTCATTTTCAATTTTCATTATGTTGAAAATTTTATTGTATTACATTTCATTTACTTCTTATTTTTTCAAAAATAGTTATTCTTCTTATGTGTAATTCAAGACATGCATGATTTAAACATTTAAAAACTTCGTACACTTTATTAATGTTTATGTGTAATTACTTCCATTTGACTCTTTTGTCATCTGTAGATATAAATAGTATCGGCATAGGTTCCTACCAAATCTCGTCAATATAATTTTATATCATCAAGATTTTTAAATATTCTTATAATAGACTTTTATAACTCTTTTCATTTAAGGTTCATAATTATTTTTAAGGTCACAGAGAATTGCGATATATTTTTTATTTAAATAAAGTCAAATAGAGAACGATTTTAGTAAAACTAATTCTAGCGCTTAACCGTCATTGTATGTCACTAGCATGTTCTGTTTTTCATTTTTTTTTTCTGTATTAGAATTTCAAATAATACTAAAATTAATTTCACGATTAAAAGGTAAGGCATCTGTTCTTCTATTTTCAAGTTCTTTCTTCTAAAATAAACGTCTCATTTACACAATTTAATATAGTTTTAAGGGTACTCCTGTAAAGTAAAATGTTGTAATTATTCTTCTTCTACGCAAACAAAAAAATATTTAAATATTTGTAACGAATTTATAAAAAATGAATCTTATCTGTTTCATGCTTGCTTCTATTTTTTAAATTATTTTTTTTATATATATAATTTTTTTTCTATTTGTAAAAATTAATGAGTTAATATTTTCTTACTAGATTATTATGAGTAGCACTATTCGAGATTGGCTTCACCGTAGTTTCAAATTAAGGTCAAAAGCAAGTTAACACATGATAAACTTCAACTAAACGTCACCTCTTTGTTTTAGACATATATTAAAAGTTATAAAACTAAAAAAAACATCTTGATAAGCTGTTTAATATTTAATTTGCTCGATTAATTAAATTCTAGTTAGTGTATTCTCAATAACAGTTTATTTAACTTTTAAACTAAATTCTAAGCTTATTTTATAGAGCGTCTTAAGTTGAAGTGTTTCGGTTGACGACACCAAAATTCTCTTTGATCTGAGAAAGCTGTTTGTATACGAAATACGACACATATTCCCGAAATTAGATGGAGAACCAACTTTCCCTTCACAAAGGATAATGTTTTATCTGTCGACTAAACAATAATATTACATCATTAAATTCTTTACAAACATTGGAATGCTATATAAAAAATTCATCCTAGTTATCACATTGGGATGTTATTTTTAAATTGTATATCAAAGTGGAATTGTATGTTCATCTATTTACAAATTAGGCGGCAATTGGTTGTATTTTCAATGGACCATACAACGAATTATTATCGAAGTTTTACAGACGTGTTTACGAAGGCCTGTATCTTTGGTTATCTTAAATACAATTACCATAGCAACATAAGAGATCGGTATAGTACTCGGGACACATGACATTCACTTATCAATCGAACCCTACAGACCTTTCGGTTAAATAATACTTCCTGAATCCAATCAGTACTTAATAGGTTATCATGTAAAGGCGATATATCAAAACATTAATTGTAACAAACACTAAATAATATTTCATTATAAGAAATATATAATTTCGGTAGCCACTATAACTATATTAAAAGCTTTAAAAAAACCTGACGTCAAGACTAAGCTGAAGATCTTTTTAATATTCTATAGCTAATTAAAATGTGCATTATTATATATTGACCTTGTTTATGCACACTTCGATTATTTTAATAATAGAAAATTTTAAGTCTACTCATAATAATTCCGTTCTATACATATAAAATATTTATTATTTCAATGTTACTGTTTTTATCGAACATATGTATAACACTCGGTATGTATTCCAAAGATAATTAGAATCGGTGTGAAGTGTCAGAGGCTGTTGATTAATTCGTGAGGTTGCCCTAAATGCATTCCAATCACCTTAAGGATGGCTATACTAGCAAATTCTTGAATACATATTACATTGTCTTTTTTTGTGTATGACTTTTTTTTATATAAGAACTACAAACGAATAGTGAGATCACTGATTGAGATTGACGTTCTTATAAAATGCCATAATTAAGACACTCGGACATTTGATTCTTTTGATTACATACAAGTTTAAATTAATATTATTT